CTTGGATCATTGTTCAGAAGATGTTTAAGCCCCTAGACACCCACACTTTTACTGTCATGAACAGCAAGAGAAAACGTAGAGCTCAATTTACTCAATGGACAAAAATGCTCAAAAGCCAAATTATGGCACAATTTAGCAGCCACATTCCAGTACAGACTTTTGACATACTGATCCCTCTGCAGTGGCGACCGGGAACATGGACTTTGAACGATGCCATTCGAAATGACCACTCATTACCCTGCCCAGACACACTTTTCACTGATTCTTCAGAGGGCAGTTCCAAGAGATTCTCTGGGGCTTTCTCTGCATCATGAGAGGCAGTGCAGTTCTGCCCTTCTGCAGTTTGTCGCCTCTTCCTCACGATCTCAGAGGAATTTTGTCTCAGGCCAACTGTTTGTTCCTTGGGCTCTTTCATTTCCCCTGAAAATCATTTGCAGCCCTGCCTACATCTCCATCTCCCTTTTCTCTGAGAAGAGGGTGCTCTTTAAGCATCAATCATCTGGCCCTTCTTGCCGTCTCCTTTTTTGACTGGCTCCCATGTTTATGCCTGTTAATAAGGTTCCATGTTTTCCTTCTCCTGTTAAGCTGTCTGTTGTTAGTACACTGCTGCAGGGAACCGTTAGAGAGGAGAGTGGAAGCTTTCCTTCCACCCACACAATAGAACTATAAAGCAGAAAAGTTTAGAAAGAATTTCCTATTTAAGTGCTGAAACTTTTTAAAAATTTTTTTTAAAAATCTGCCATAATTTAAATGGCAGATTTTTCATAATTCTTATGCTAATAAATCATTTTCCTGATTTTTAAAATAAAGCCCAATATTCATAATGAAGTCCGGAACCACAAATTGTTTTAAATAATTTCGTATTTATGATTACAAGCCCACCTCTAGGGGAAGTTAGTGTACTCACACCGAGGCTAGTTCTCCTGAAGAAAATGGCAAGTGTAGAAATTCCCAGGGACACAACAATAATAATAAGCATCCAAGGAATTCCAAAAAAGTCAGGCCCAGGAAGAAAATGCCCAGGCAGAAAATTGATGGCATGGAATAATAATAGTTGACATAATGAGAAGGCTCAATGACATTTACAATATTTCAATTACAAGGAACCATCCTTAGAAACCCTCAACCTCCTCCAAGAGTTAACCACACCCCTCAGATATCCCCAGGCAATTCCACTGCTTCAGGAAAGATTGGAAGTTTCCAGTCTCACGTTCCTCGCATGGCTGGTTGTGTTTTTAGGCATGCAAATGTGGGGTGTCTCTTTTCTTGGTCTGAAGCAGGGATGTCCAATCTTTTGGCTTCTCTAGGCTATATTAAAAGAATGAGAATTGTTTTGTGCCACACATAAAATACACTAACAATAGCTGATGAGCTAACAACAAAAAAAAAATCACAAAAAAAATCTCAGAATGTTTTAAGAAAGCTTACTAATTTGTGTTGGGCTGCATTCAAAGCTGTCCTGGGTTGAATGCACTCTGTCACCCGTGGGTTGGACAAGCTAGGTATAAAGTAATTATATTTTCTTTAAAGTCCTTTACTTATTTTTTAAATTGACATATAATATTGAATGTATTTATCATGTATCACATGATAAAAGAATCTCTCTGGATCCCACTTCTCTCTTGAATTACAAGAATCTTTGCAATTTAAAGAACATAAGTAAAAACAAAAATACAATTGAGCGATGACTTCATTCAGAAATAAGTATCAAATTTTAGTGCTTAAAAATAACCAAGGTGGAGGGTGGGTGCGGTGGCTCATGCCTGTAATCTCAGCACTTGGGGAGGCTGAGGCATGTGGATCACCTGAGGTCAAGAGTTTGTGACCAGCCTGGCCAACATGGAGAAACCCCATCTCTACTAAAACATACAAAAATTCTCTGGGCATGGTGGCAGGTGCCTGTAATCCCAGCTAATTGGGAGGCTGAGGCAGAAGAATCGCCTGAACCCAGGAGGCACAGGTTGTGGTGAGCTGAGAGGACACCACTGCACTTCAGCCTGGGCAACAAGAGGAAACTCCATCTCAAAACAACAAATAAATAAATAAATATTTAGAAATTTGTGTTACATTGGCAGGGCACGGTGGCTCATGCCTGTAATCCCAGCACTTTGGGAGGCCGAGGCAGGCGGATCACGAGGTCAGAAGATCGAGACCATCCTGGCTAACTTGGTGAAACCCCATCTCTACTAAAAATACAAAAAATTAGCTGAGGCCAGGCGCGGTGGCTTCGCCTGTGATCCCAGCACTTTGGGAGGCCGAGGCG